GAAGAAAAAGGACAAAGGAATAGTGGGGAATCATCATAATCATACTGGTACAGTTTAAAAGCATGTAAAAGACTTTATATTTTCATTTGTGTCTCACCCTTATAAAGGACCAAGGACTCTAAAACAATATACCTGATTCTACCCCTTTGTTTTACCCTTATGAAACTTATTAGATAGGTTAGATAAGCAGGGGAGTTGGGTAATTTTAGATTTTGAAATATGGATGTGGGGGAAAGAGTGTGCTTTTTTCATCCCCCCTAAACGGGGGGAAAACAGCCTTATTAATTTGGGGGGAAATCTCCTCCTGTTCCAGATAGCTATCATGAAGCTCGGTCCTGGTGGGGGCCACCGGATTAGGCTGAGGGTTTGATGCGATTTCATGCTTTAGGACCGGGGGCAGCAGGGCGTCGGGTTGGCCCCGTTGAAAAAGGTGAATCTGCAGTGATAACGAGAATGCAAGGCAACGAAAGGTAAAATTTAGTGCCACCGAAGACAACCAGCGAGCGGTCGCAGCGGTCAGTGGCGGTCAAGTGGAACCTTCACGGGGATGAAACCCTGACAAAAGACACGGATTAACGGCATGAGTAGATCGATCCATTAATCCATTGGGTCTGAGTACCAGACAAAGCATCATTTCTGAACATGTTATGTGTGTTGGCTGCGGGACGGAGATGTGGGGGTCCCATGGTGCTTCCTGGATCCTCCCTCCCATAAATCCTCGCCAGTGGCTCACAAGAATGTATAGGAATTGCAGTCCAGCTACCAGTGGCCAGAGCAATTCAGAAGACCTGGGTTCAGATCTCGCAGTCAGCCGTGGCAACTCCCCGACGGATAGGAAGCTGCATCTTGCTTGTAGAGGTGCTTCTGTTCAGTATAAGGCTCGCTGACTTTCAGATGGAGATGCAACTGCGCCATTCCCAAGCTATCTGTGATTTCTTGGCACCATCTAGAGGCCGCTGTGAATATACTTCTCCAGCTTTAACCAGGCAAAGCAAAGGCCATCATCCTCATCAGGGCAGTATCTCTGAGGCCAGTTCAAAGGTCGGCCTCCAGAATCTCGGAGATTTTCAGATCTGTCAGATGGCTTTTGGAAATGACGGATCAGCAGATTTTGGTCCTTCATCCCCAAGTATCTGACGTACAATCAGAAATCATAATAGCATCCAGCGCATAATAGTTTCCCAGCCTTGGGTCTCCAGATGTTCTCGGACTACAACTCCCATACGACCCCGCCAGCGTGGCTAGTAGTGAAGGCTTATGACAGTTGCAAATAATAGTTTCCCAGCCTTGGGTCTCCAGATGTTCTCGGACTACAACTCCCATACGACCCTGCCAGTGTGGGCTTCTGGAAGTTGCAGTCCACGAACGTCTGGGGACCCAAACTTGGTGCTCTTGTGGAATTTAATATGAATTTGTCGGCAGGCCCCTGGTTCATCTTAAGACCTCTTCATCAAGCTGACTTCTCCCACATCAGCTATTTTTTTGCAACATACTGTTTAATGAAGGGGATCTCTGGCTTTCAAAAGCACATTTTTGTAGCCCACACATTGACCAACTCAAGGTGTCAAGTCGAATATAGAATCTGAAAGCTGGAGTAGGAAAATTTCCCAAAATTAGGAGTGCCAAGAAAATGAAGATCTTCTATCAGGCATGCAGTGGTGACGTCGCTGTTCTTAAAGGCGAAGATGGTCCAAACTGCAACTAAAATCAACTACAGCAAGATAAAGCAGCTTCACAGACTGGTTCTAACTCATTAAAGTGGTGCCTCGCTAGACGATGATAATCTGTTCCACTGAAATCGCTGTTTAGCAAAATCATCTAGTGAAAAGCATTTCCCCGTTGGAATGCATTGAAACCTGCTTAATGCGTTCCAATGGGGAAGAATCGTCGTTGTCTAGCGAAGATCGGCCATAGGAAAGCCACTTTGCGAACTGCCGATCAGCTGTTTAAATAGCTGTCTTGCGAAGCTTAGGTCCCGAAAACACCTGTTTTGCGAGCGTGGAGGGAGGTGTCAAAATCGTCGTCTAGCAAAAATCGGTTTGCGAAGCAGGGACCAAACATTGTCCAGCGAAATTCTCCCACTGTTTGGCGAATCGCTATAGTGATCGCAAAAAGTCGATGTCTAGTGAAAAAACTGTCATGTGGGGTAACAGTCTAGCAAAGCACCGCCCTATGTCATTTTGATCCTGCCTCTATAAAATGTTTGAAAAAATAGATGCAACCACAAGAGCTGTGGGCAATCCCATGACAACGTTTGCTCCTGGGCTTTTTCGTGAGACATTTTCGCCGGGATGGAAAGAAAGCATTCAAACCCGAATGGCATCGTATGAACTGAAAGCGCTCCCCCTGCAAACACGGACGCATCTCGGAAAGATTACGTTTCTTAGAGCCTTTATTTTAATTAACATTGGTAAACAACAACAACGACGATAATACAATAACGTTCAGAGGCCTGGCTTATTCCGCATAAGTCAGAGAAAGGAGACCAATATGTAAACAACATTCACACCCTCAGAACATCGACGTGCGTGCCCCTCTTGTGAGATGCCCCAAACTGGCGTTTGTGCGACAGGGTGCCAGCACGCCAACTAAACACCCCACTGCCATTGCCCATCTTTGTGCATTCAGTATTTTGAGTCTTCTGGAAGCATCATCCACGGGGTGAGAGCTCAGATATTCTGCTGCTTTAGTGGAAATCAAGCCCGCCGTTGGGGAGGGGGGGGAATGGCAGCACCTAAATTTTGGGAGACTACAGGGCACTTTTTAAAAGCCGTCAGAAAGGGTGAAAGAAAGGAACCTGATTTTTTTTTTAAGCCAGAAAGATAGTGCTTGCATCGTGGGAGGGAAATGTGGGGGTTCCTTAAGGAAACACAACCCCCCCAATGGAGAGGGACTTGAGTCACGGGACAAGCTGTCAAGTTGGACTTAAGTCACAATCACACCTCGACTCAGTTTCCCCCCCGGTGACTCAGAGTCGCTTTTCGGCTCGGAACAGACCCTCTGTCTCCTTTTCTTCCGGGGGGGGGAGCTTGTTTTTAATAGGGACTCAGGCTTGGCACTCAGGACTCAAAACCCCAAAATTTGCCAACATCCTTGACGCCTACCCTTGAACGCCGCAGTAAAATGTAAAAAAATTAAAACCATACTTTAAAAAATAAATAACTTGACAAGCTGGCGACACTCAGAATCAGCTGCCCAAGCTGGCTATCTCCCTCTGCTTAACGATTAAACTGAGAGAAAAGGACAGTCTCAAAGGTCATAAGGGTTGTGGGAAGTGTGTGTTGAGGTTTGGGTTTTTTTAAAATCAATTCACAAATCGTTGATGCCTGTGAAATGAATTGGGAGCAGGATTAGGGTTTGTGGAGTCATGCGGTTTGGGGGGGCTTGGTGTAAAAGTGGTCACTTGTCTTCTATCTTGGTCAAGGGGGCGACACCGGCTTTAAAACTGTTGCATTTTTAAAGTGAATCGGCACCTTGGCCAAACTCCGGCTTCTGTTTTTTTTCCATGTCCCTTCCCATTCCAAAAATCCATTTTCCTCTATTGTTGTTTGGTACGGAATGGTCTCGCTGTGGTTACACACAGTCTTTGGGTTCGTTTTATTAATTTTTAACGTTTGTTTTATTTCTAGAAAGCATTGCATTAAAAAAATTAAGACAATTTCTTATTCTTTATTTAAAATATTTCTGCCCCGCTTTTTGCCTTTTTCTATCAACAGATAGAAAATGGAATGCAAGACTTCGGACCGCAGGATACTCGAGCGCCCAAAGCCCGTGATCCTGGCATCCAATTATAATAAAAATATAAAGAGGTCGCCTGTCATTATGCTATGCAGACATGCCCTACTCGTTAAGTCGTGTCCGACTCTTTGTGACCACACGGACCAGAGCACGCCAGACCTTCTTGTCTTCCACTGACTCCCGGAGTTACTAAACACAAATAAATTAGACGCAACGCAGTTACTTGTAACATGTTAATTCCAAGATCTGGCAGGGTGCCCCCCCCCGGGGCCAACCAGGCCTCTCAAACAGCCCTCTAAAAGACATGATCGAGGACCCATCACTGAAGCCCCCAGAGAACTGCTGGATAGCACAGTGGTTTAGATCTCTGGCCACAGAGCAAGAGGTTGGGGGTTTGATTCCCCGCTGCGCCTCTTTGACGGGACGGGACTCCGTGATCCATAGAGTCCCTTCTAGCTCTGCAGTTCTAAGTTGATGACGGTGACATTTTCTCCTTATGTGCAAGAAGGATTCAGAACCGGGAATAGTCAAAGAGTCAAAAAGAATCGCCTTCCGCTCCGGCGCTCAGTGCGAACTTTTAGCGCACACGTGCCATCTTGACGGGAACAAGGCAAGCCGGAGCAGCAACAGCCTGTGACCGAGGTGAAGCTCCATGCTCTGGGCAAATGTGCAAAATAATTTATATTTGCCAGCCAGGTGGCCCAGAGAGAGAAAAGCCACAGGCCACAGATGCGGTAACAGAAGAATTTCCTTCATAGGCAGGGGCGGGCTGGATGAGATGACCTCTGAGGGTCCCTTTCCTTTCTTACACCTGTGGACTGTCCTTCCTTAGATCCACAAAAGCGATTCCTTTAGAGACAAGCCCTCCTGTGACAAGATCATGTTTCCTCTCTTTTATAGAGCCTCGGTCTCAGCACCTCTTGTGAAATCCATTCTTCGAGGGAGGAAACATGGCCGTTTCTGGGGCCGAGTGGATCGGGAAACCGGATCCGGCCGAGGGATGTCTTCGCCCTTTTGGTCTTTCTCGGTGCAAAATAATACTGAAACATGTCATGGTTTGCCCCCCTCGGGGTGGGCATGGGGCAGTTATGAATCTGAAAGATCCCTGAGATTAGAGGAAAAGGGGAGGACGGATCCTTCCCACTTGGAGATTGCAGGTGGACAAGCTGGTTCCCCACTTTCAAGGGCTGGTTTCACCCTCCACCCTCCCGGATGCATCCGGACAAACGCGCACCTCAGAGGCAGGTATACACACACACACCCTACAGCAGGGGCATCGAGGGCCCCCCAACGGGGCTGTGGAGGGCGGCCCCCGCCTTGCGCGAGGCCTTGCGCAGCAGCGGGCTGTCCGGGTGGTGCGCCTGGAGATGCCGAAGGTGCCCCTCTTGGCTGTCGGCGGTGGCGCCGCAGTCCTCGCAGACGTAGAGTTTGGCCCGGCGCTCCTTGTAGGCGTAGCTCTGCTGGACGCCGTGGATCTTCTTCAAGTGGGACTCGAGGGAGCAGCGTTGGGTGAAGGCTTTGTCACAGAGGTCGCACTTGTAGGGACGCACACCTGGGGAGAGCAAGAGGGGGACAAAGCAGGAATGTGAGGGGCAGCTGTCCTGCAGAATGGTAGGTCCCAGCCCAAATGATGGCTCTGTGACCCCCAGGGGGAAGGAACACGGCTACCGGGGGAATACTGGGGGGAAAGATTCATTCGAAAAACCCACAAATTTGCACATCTCTTCCTAGCAGATATATTGGGCCTTTAGGGTTATTTGCTATCTCTTTCATCCATCCTGGGGACCACAGCAGAGTGTGGGCTTCCTCAGTACAGTGGTGCCTCACTTAACGAGCGCACCGTTTAACGACGAATCCGCATAGCGACAGGTTTTTTGTGATCGCATTGCGATGATTCCAAAGGGTGAAAATCGTGCTGCGATGATCGGTAAGCGTTTCGCTTACCGATCTTCGCATTACGATGTTCTGAAAACAGCTGATCGGCGGTTCCAAAATGGCTGCCGGAAGAATAAAATGGCCGCCAGCAGCGTTTTCGCGCCCTGCCCTCGCTTACCGAGATGGCGAAAATGGCAGCCAGATGGGGAATCTTCACTTACCAGTGAGTTTTCGCCCCATAGGAACGCATTAAACAGAGTTTAATGCGTTCCTATGGGGCTTTACATTCCATATAGAGATGTTTCCGGATAGCGACGTTAATCCTGGAACGGGGCACCACTATGTATGATAGGGCAGGGAAGGATGGAGGAAGGTTTGGTGCCTTCGACTCCCTATGGAAAAAGCACTCCAAAGTTTCATTCATTTGCTATTTGATGTCCTCTTTCATCTCAAGAAAACCATGGGGTGCGCATGGGTCCCTTCGGCCCTTCGTATCCTCCCTACAGCCTTCTTTGGTAGATCAGAATGAGAGAATGACCAGACCTCAAAGAATCAATAACATTATAAAGAGTAACAGCAGCAATAATAAATACAGTAGGGGTTCTGTAGACGTGAGGGATCGGTTCTGAGCCCTCGTCCCCGAGGATGCTGAAAAATGCGGATTACAGCAAACACTATTATAAGTTAATATTATACATAGTGTGGTCTCTAGCTCCCTCTAGTGGCCATTTCTGGTTACTTCATTTTCAGAAATATATTTTTGGGGTTTTTTTTTTCTTTCACACCGTGGATAAGTGAATCCGTGGATACGAGTCGCTCAAATAAGGCTTTAATGTCTAAAAAATTAATGTGGTTGTTGTTACCTTCTTATTTCTCAGCATTGCTAGAGCATGAAAAGTCATATCAAAAATTAGGGAGTCATGTCCTGCAGTTGGGGGGGGGTTAGATGTTCCCTCTGCCCTCTGATTTCATCTGATTTTAGAAGCAGAGCAAGGAATCAGATGGGTGACACGTGGAAATTTCCAGGTAGGGCTAGGAAAGAAACACCAGGAGAGCTTCTGGCAGTCAGAGTTTGCAAGAGTGGTCTAAATCAGTGGTTCTTAACCTTTGTTACTCAGATGCTTTTGAACTGCAACTCCCAGAAACCCCAGTCAGCACAGCTTGTGGTGAAGTCTTCTGGGAGTTGCAGTCCAAAACTCCTGAGTAACCCAAGGTTAAGAACCAGTGGTCTAAATGGACCAAACAGCACAGCAGAAGCCAGTTTCCTGCATTCCTGTCGAACTATCGCTATTGCTACAACGCTGTGCAATGAACATTATGGAAAAAATTAAACCAGAAGCGTGGAGCAGCGTTCCCCACAGTGGTGGGTCATCCTGGGTGGTACCGATTGCGGTCCAACACACTCAGATTGATTGTCAAAATCATGGGTAATCTACTGTATGATTTTGACCGAAGGTCGGGAAAAACTTCCTAACTGTTAGCGCAGTACGACAACGGGAACCCATAACCTCGAGAGGCGGGGAGTGCTCCAACAGTGGAGGCCTTCAAGAGGAAATGGGGCAACCCTCGGTCAGATCTGCTTTGATTTGGAGTCTTGTATTGAGCAGGGGGTTTGTCTCAATGGCCTCGCAGGCCCCTTCCAACTTCACGATTCTATGATATTTTTAGATACGTTAATTCTGCAAGCATTTCCAAAAAAACTAGAACAAGGGCTCAGCAAATGGGTTTTTCGTTGACATAGTCAACAGGCCACTTCAGAAGACACATTCCACCAATGCAAAGAAGCCCGTTCGAAAGGGCACAGCCACACGCCACAGCTCTGTGGATTCCAACCAATTAAATTCTTTTTTTGATAAAGCTTCTCCCCAATTAATTTCAGAGAGAAGTCGCGTTTCGGCTGATCCGAGCGTTGTTTCTGGCATTCTGAGAAGCTGGCAAGTCCGTTGAACCTTACAGTCCCTATGGTTGCTGGCGGCCCCCTCCGCACCTTGTGGCAGGATGTTCCGCAAGCTGAATTGAACAAAGGAGAGCATCCTTTTAACCCACCAGAGTCTGCTGTTGAGTTCAAAGCCTCCCGTTGCCTCTCTAGTAAGGCACGCCGGCTTCCCTTGGGGCAGCCCCGGAGGCGTAAAGGCTCACCTGTGTGTGTCCGGACGTGGCGCTTGAGGTCAAAGGTGTCATTGAAGCCCTTGTTGCAATAGGGGCACAGGTGTCGCTTCACCTGGCTGTGGCATTTCAAGTGGCGGTTCAACATGCGCTGGTAGGAGAAGCCCTTCTGGCAGAAGGGGCAGGAAAACAGCTCGCCAGGCGATTCCCCCTGCGTTACCTGGGGAGAAAGACAAGAGGCAGCGATGGAAGGGACCCCACCAATATCAGCCACGGCGATCATTTTTGAGTCCCCCTTCACTCCTATAACATCCTAAGTCCCCCCTTTCTTGCTGTTTCTCCCTTCACAACAACCCTAAGAGGTAGGTCAGAGCGAGCGGCTTCAAGTGACACGGTTGGTTTTTGGGCCTCACTGTTGACTAGAACCTTGACCTCCCTCATATTAGAGATATCCTCCACATCGGGAGACTTGGGTTCCATTGGTTCGAATGGGTCGGCCCGAGTTGTGATTTACTGCACGAAAGTAAGTCCAACCCGAGGAGGCCCATTGGGATCAAAAGGGAACTTACAGACGAGTTGACTTACCGACTATCCTCCCATATCTAGTCTTTCTCTTTTCCTGCTGCCTTCGACTTTTCCTAGCATTATTGTCTTTTCTGCCCAGCCTTTTTCTTCTTGTGGGGTACGGGTGGAGTAGAGACCAGGAAAAAATTCTCCAGGCAGATCACCCACCACCTCTTCACCCTCTAAACGAAACTTTATCAGCCTGGGACTCGTCCAGATGTATTGGACTACAACCCCCATCATCCACTTGCCACTGGGAGGATGCGAATGGCAGACTGAAACGTCTGGAGAACCGCCAGGCTGGAGGAAAAGGTCTTCAACGTCTGGAGAAATTACGGATTTGAACGAGAAACGTGAATTTTTGTCTTGGTGGATCCCGTAAATGTCCTACCTTGATCTTGGGTCGCAGGAAGCCGGAGTCCACATCCTGCGGCGTCTCCGTCGGGACCTGGGCGGCGCAATGAGGCTGGGCGGCTGTATAGGTGGCGTGTCGCATCGTCATGTCCAGGGGCATGGAGTGGGATGGCAGCTCGGCCACCGATGGCTCCGGCTCGTTCCATAGCGCGTACCCACCCAAGGAGACTAGAGGACAGGAAAAAGGACATCACAGAGCTGTTTCGATTTGAAACCGTGACTTCTCGAATGAAAAACGGAAGTGTCTCCGGCCAGATCTCGCTTCAATGCCCGCCTGCTGGGCACGGTCGCTGGACGATGCGCTGAGAAATCTCCGCTGCCCAACGCCCGCCCCTGAACAACAGCAGAGCATTCTATGGGTCTGGCCAAACGACATATCTCAAGAGCCTGGGAGATTAAAGCCACAGCAGTTAAACCTGGGATCAAGCCGATATACCTGTGCACTCCAGGTACATTCAGAACAGACAGCCCTGTCTTGCCTCTTCTCTGAGCCTATTTGTCTGTGTCCTTCTTTAAAAGGATGAGTCCCGGACTGGGGGACTGATGAAATCTCGAGAGGCGCTAGCCGACAATGAATTTTGGAGATGAAACAACGGTTTCTTTGGGAAGAAGACAAAAATCACATTCCCCTTCCTTGGAACCACCCTGTACTATCAGCGGGGGTTGACAAAGAGTCTCAGAACCGGGATGATGATGAGGTACAGAAGAGGAAGCAAACTTGGACATTTTTATTTGGAAAAGTGGCCCAGGTGTTCTGGGGGCCGACCCGCAAAAAATTCCCACGTTCCGAAGCGTGCTTGTAATTTGTGGAGAGGACGGCCTCTTTTAGACGTTACAGCCTTTTTAGTTTAATTTGACTGCCTTGATGATGTTACTTTTTGTGTGTGTGTGTGTGTCACCAGTATGGCTGTGAAATGTCCAGAGTGACTGTTGGTCAGTGGGGTAGCATAGAAAACAAATTAAATCTTTTGCAACATCGTTAATTCAACCGGACTAAAGAAGCGACAAATACAGATGTACTAAAACATCTGGATTAATGATTCTAAATAGTTGGGGTGCCCCTACATGTGGCCAGGGAATATGTAGTCTTCTAGGTGTCATTGGACTACAATTCCTATGAGCCCCAGGTTCAGCCGATGGTGAGGGATGATGGCTGTTGCCATCCATCAACATCAGGAAGGCTACATGTCTTTCACCCCGACTTAAAAGTGATTCCAACTGGAGTATGCACGCTGGAGAGGGTAAAACCGCAGCTGTCTTATTAATTTACTTGTACCGGGGGGGGTGATCTGGGGGAGGGGGTCTCCCATAATCTACTTAGCCATCATCTCCTGTTTATTCACACAGTGGCATGCAGCTGGCCAGGTAAGAATTCTTCCTATCTCTGCAGGTTCATTTACCTGCCCCATCTCACAGCGACTGCAAAATTGGGCTTAATTGTGACGCAATTGATCGCACAGACAGGACACAACAGGGGGGGTAAAAGCATCACTAGCCACTTTTTGGCTAGTGATTCATATTTGGGCTTAACCCTTCCCTCCCCCCCTTTAAAAAAAAAATCTCCGCTAAAAGTAGCAGTGCACTCAAAGCCGATGACAACAGTAACTAAAAATAAACCAAGCACATCATTAAAATCGTCACGTTGATCCATAGGCCCCAGCGAGGCGCTAGTCCTCATGACTGGGACTCAGCCGCAACGTTTCATCGGCGTCTCTCCGCCGGCTGCCCAGAGCACCCCCCGTTCCCTATCCACCGCCGAATGCCAGCTATAATAAACAGGCTCAGAACCGGTTAACCGGGATGTTATTGGTAAGTGGAGCCCAACCCAGGGAGTTAATTAAAAGTATTTCCGGGCCGGCGCCACATTTCCAGCTTCTGTCACCCGCCTTGGGGAAGATGGGAGTGGGTGGACCGTGTTGCAACCACCCTTAAAACCACGCCAAGCAGCCGGCATCCAGACTTCCCGTTCTTTCCAGGCTCCGTTGCAAAGACGGTAAAGGGCTAAGCATTAATTGGACACGTCGCTCTTTTCGGGGGAGCGACCGGTTCCTGAGCGAGCCTCGCCTGTGGGCGAACCTGGGAAGCCAGGCGTTGCTTTTTCCAGCCCCCGCATGCGAAAGCGCCCAGGTGGGAGTCTTGCCTGGCGAGAGGAGGGGTGCCCCGTGCGAGGGAGCCCCCAGCGAATCCACCAACAAAAAGCTGATACAAATGCTGATCCATCCAAGCACTTTGCTTCCATCAGCGTCCGTAGCGGAAAGAGGCTTTTACCATTAGGGCTGCGCACCTCCAGAGCAACTGTGGGTCAGATGGGGGGGTATAGAAAGGAGGGGTGCCCCGTGCGAGGGAGCCCCCAACGAATCCAACACCAAAAAGCTGATACAGGTGCTGATCCATCCAAGCATTTTGCTTCCATCAGCGTCCGCAGTGGAAAGAGGCCTTTGCCATTAGGGCTGTCCACCTCCAGAGCAACTGCGGGTCAGATGGGGGGGGGATATAGAAATTAAATACCCTGTTTTTCCATGTATAAGACTATACTTTTGTCTAAAATCTTTAGACTAAAAATTGAGGGTCGTCTTATAGACGGAACTAAGCTGAGGCTAAAACAAAAACAAGTGGAGGGGAAAGCAGGGATCAAAGCGATCCTGCAGCACTTTGATCCCTTTCCCTCTACACTTGCTAAGCCCCAACTTCTTAATTTTGGATTAGAAAAGTGGGGGGGGGCGTCTTATACACGGGGACGTCTTATACACAGAAAAATACGGTAATTAAAATCAAAGCCACCTTGGTATCGAAGCGTTTGACTTGCAGTGCAGAGCCCGGTGTAAACGGGGCAAATCTGCCAATGGTGTCATGGGGTTGTTTTGCTTTCTACGAACGGGAAGCATCTCGTGCCAAAGCGTCTGCAGTTCGGAAAGGTGAGGCGCGGTTATTCCGACCTCCCAGAAAGCACGCCTTCTGCCCCTCCCCCATTTCTCTTAATTGCAGCCTTGGCAGGGCTGGTTGCCACGACTCGTCAGCCCTCTGCACGCTCTCAGAGGCACTCTTTTGGTCATCCTGCCCAGCCTCCTTGCTCGGGCTCGGATGTGCTACAAGCGTCCATGGTCCACCCATTCCGGGGGAAGGATCTAATTAATGAACGCTGAGAGTGGGAAGATCTTAATTGTGTTGCCAGCCGTTTGTCGGACGAAACATCTGCCTGTTGAAACAGATGGGTGTCAGTCAGCAGCCTGAACAGGTACTGCTTTTCTCCTCACGGGAAGGCTGGACCTGTTGAACTTCTGTTTGAACCCTCTTCCAGCGAAAGATGGAACAAAACACACAATCGGCTCTAGTTCAAACTGAGGGCCGTGCTAAGGCGTTCAGTCTCATACTCTTGACCGCATCCGAAGGGAAGGCTGCTGGGGCGGGGGGGTGTCATAAATTCTGGCTCAACACAGAATTGTAAAGGTTGATTGAGGGGGGGCGGACACTTCCAAAGCCTCCAGGGATTTGACACGGCTAGGCTGTGAAAAACGTAGCCTCTGAGTGTATACAGACTGTGGGGCCAAAGGGGAAATCTCGGCTGTCAGGCTCAAATCTTCACTAAGCCATGAAACTTAGGCCACCCAGAGGTTGAAAAAATTATTTTTTTGAATGGTAGTTCCCAACCATCTCCTTACGGGAAGCTGTGGGCCACAAAGTAACTTTGGGACCCCCTCCATGCCAATGATGCCCATCAGGTTCTCCCTCGGCCCCCTTAATCCCACCACAACAAAAAGCCGCCTCCAGACCCTTCCATTTCTCCATAAGAGCAACTGTCCGAATACTGATTTATGTGCAAGAAAATTAAAGCATGGCCTCCCAGTGGGCTTTCAGAGCCGCGACGCTGGGGCAGAGTCCTGCCCCCCTCGCCTGCCAGCTTCGCCCCAAAGAGCCCTGCTCTCACCAGGCTGGAATCCATGGAGGAAGTTTTTGCCAACCTTCCAGGTTGATTAATCAGAAGCTAATTACAGACTCTCGGCTCAGGCCCGGTGATGCTCACCAAGGAAAGCGGAGAGGGATCGTGACAATCCGAGATCCTCCCCACGGCTTTGGCCGTCCCTTCCATCGCCAGAACCGTGGCGGTATCGGCTCCGTGGGTCTCGTCTTTGAGAACCACCTGGTGGGATTTGTGGGGGGGGGATGAGGAGAAGCAGATCCTTGATCTTGGGCAAGCGAAACTTCCAGGTTTAGAAGCAGCATCGCTTGTTCCATCTAGCAGCGGGCATCTCCTGCTGACCCACTATCTAACGTGGGCCATGGGTCTGATCCATGCATTTACGCCCCTTCCAGACATGGTGGGCCTCCAGTTCCTATCATCCCCCAAGAAGATGAACCCAAACAACGCTGGGAAAATCCATTCCCTCTTTTGAAAGGTTTAAGCTGGCGCTCCTCATCTCCTGCAGGGCGTCCAGAGGTGGTAAGACGGTCATAGAGGCTGGCCACGACGGCCCTGGTAGGAAGACCGCCACCCTCTGGAGGTCACCAGTTAGGAAAGGCTGTGTGAGGGGAATTCGTGAGAAATGTAACTTTCAGATACTACAAATGATCAATGGAGCCCCGCGTTTAAGAGCAATCTACCTTGGAATGAAAAAACTTGGGGAAATGCCTCTTTTGGAGGGCCAGTCCCAGAATCCCCAGTGCTAGGTACAGAATCCAGGGAAGGGTCGTGCGAAAAAGAATCTTTCAAGGCTCGGGTTTAAGAACAAATCGGAGATGCGGGACACGCTCCCGTCTTCACTTACGGCTCTCGAGAGTCGCAGCAGCCGATTTCTGTAAAAGCAACGCACCGCCCAATACTAACTGGAAGAGAAGCGAAGGAAGGGAATGAAATCTCACACCTGAAAAAAAAACCATCTTTGTTTGCACCCCATTCTTGCCTGCTTCCAGAAACAAGGGGCGTCCAGCAGGAGAGAATGACATGTCAGGATCCTTGGGGGTCCCTAAGCTCTACGAAACAAAGATGCCTCGCATGTCGTCTGATGGAGACTACTCTGAACCGAAACGTTTCTTGACATGTCCCCCAACGGATTGTATTTGTGCTTCATCTTTCCCAAAAACGGTCCCCTTCAAGAACTAAGAAATATATGAATATACAAAACATTCATCTCAAAGGTTCCCCAGCCTGCCACTGCATTCTCTCTGTCTTTTTTTCCTGCACCTTTCCCAGATGTAGAAGAAGGGGGGGCAATTCAACACCTCAGCCCTGTCCCCTCCCTTGAGAAACCCGCCTTGCCCAAGGTCTGCAGGTTTGAGCGCTTAAATCCGGGAAGGGTCTGGCCAGGGCGATCCTTAACCACCACCCCCCTTAAAAAAAACCCTCAGAACTGTAGTTACCTTTTCCCCAAAATGGATGGAGAGAACGTTACATGATCTAGCGGTTTAAAAAAAAAAAATAAAACATGTGATTTATCTTGATCAGCCCATTGGAATGATGTAAGGCGCCTCGGGTCCTTTCGAAAGGAGCCAGGCGGGGTAAAAAAATGGTTTTAAATAAATAAATAAATAATAGTCTTGATTCTCTGACTGAGAAAGTCTTAATCAGGCAGGCCCCCTCCCCTAGTCAGAATAGGTAGCGTGCGAGCCCCGCTAGCTAGCGGCTTAGCCCCCCCCATCCCAAGCCCATCCCAGTCGGGTCCCTCGGGCGAAACTAGCCCCCACCCCCGCGACCGCTCCTTCTTCTCCATTAGCGCCTCCGGCTTCCCAATCAACCCACCCGCCAGATTGCCGGCGAGTTTAAACATTACAATGGGAAAGGTGTGGGGAGGGGGGGGAGAAGAAGAAGAGGTTGCGCATAAGTGCACTTGCCCGGCATGGGAGGGGAGGGGAGGAGAGGGGGGGGGAAACAATAGCGCTGGACTCACAGGTGTGATCGCTTCCCCCCACCCACCTCCCGGCCATCATCCTCCGCATCTAACGAAATGCGGTCCAAGGAAAGGTGAAAACTCCAGATCGGACCGGCGAGGAAGGAGTTGCTTGCCAGGACCAGCGTGGGGGACAGAATCGGGTCCTTCCCCCCCCATCTTGCAATCCACGCCTCGGAAAACAATAGCGCTGGACTCACAGGTGTGATCGCTTCCCCCCACCCACCTCCCGGCCATCATCCTCCGCATCTAACGAAATGCGGTCCAAGGAAAGGTGAAAACTCCAGATCGGACCGGCGAGGAAGGAGTTGCTTGCCAGGACCAGCGTGGGGGACAGAATCGGGTCCTTCCCCCCCCATCTTGCAATCCACGCCTCGGACG